ATACGTATATCGCCGACCTTGTTTACCTTTTGTTTTGATTATTTTTATTTCATTCTGCGCGACGAACAATGTACATTTTTAACTGAAATGTAAGCATATATGCTTACAAAAGTTACAAATACAAATACAAATACTAAGGCTTATTACAGGGGTTTAGTTCGCGACAGTGGCGATTTATGTTCAAATGTAACCGTTGATCGCAGACCCCTGTTACTCGAGTTTACTTGAGCTAGGTTGTCCGGCTCTATAGTAATGTTCCCTTACGTCTGTTGGCTTATCATTACCGCGGCTGCCAAGAACCTATCTCTGTAGCGTGGGTTGCCGGATTCAACTCGTGCAGGGTGGACGTGGTTTCCTCTCGGATTTGGGTTCCACTTTCCCAGCCTCAAGATCCTCTTGATTAGGGCGTGTGATGGGAGATCAATTACTTTTTGCTGGAGTGTTCTCTTCCTTTGGCTAGTTTCCCGGTTAAATGGTTCAGCTATCCGTTTAATCACAACGTTGCACTGCCTGCCTAAGGCTATTTCACTGTTCGTTTCTAGTCTAGTAACCGTTTTGTTGAGTTTTCTACTGCCCCCTGTAACTTTTGAATTTCTATCTCCTGTTCAGAAACAAATTCTAATTCAGTTATCAAACTCGACTCCTCGATAAGCATCTTTATGGTTTGCACTTCTCTTCCAACTGTTTTCACACTGTTTTTCAGTGTTTCGGAAGATGTTTCACTTTGACTGCTTGATTCATTTGTTGCAGGTTGTGATCCTGCCGCTCGATTTCTGGATCTTATTTCTGTTAGCATGGTCTGGCATTCCGAAAGAACCATTTCAGGAAATCATACTTAATGTGGACTTCATAAACTCTGTTCACAATATTACTACAGGCCTTATGATACCAGTGGTCACGGGCATCAAAGTGCATGCCATTTTGTATCACTGGTTTTTCACATGTTTTCTTCTCACACGAGAATTTGGCCATATTCTTGTGTCATTTCGCCGTGCTAAACTTTGCCACAACGGCTTTAATTGTCATGGTCGATTGAGTGAAAACGCTAGTAATCAGTACCAGCGATACGTTTGTGTGTGGGAAAAACAAAATCGAGACTTCGATGAGAAACTCGTCTAAATACAATAAATACAATCCTACAATAATTTAACTACAATAGAGGACGAGAAATCTATTTCAACAGAAAAATCTACGGTGATGTTGCAAAAAAATTAAGAACTTATACGCTGATAAAAAACAACCTAAGACAAGACAACCTGATTTCCGCTTCCAGTTCGAACGCGCACCAGTCACTTGTGTCCGCTGTCATCGTGTAAAGTATACTTCTGTGTTTTGCGTACTTCCTTCTGTGGATTTACAGTGTAATTATGGGCAAACAGGACACAAAAACTCCGTGCTCAAAGTGCAAGAAGACCGTCGGCCCTCGAGCGAAGGCCATGTTATGTGATTTGTGTCAATGTTAGCCTCATGTTGCATGTAATAGCGTACCGCCAGACAGCCGTGTGACTCCCCACATGTTAAGTTTGTATGTGAAGATTGTCTCCCAGCATTCCGCACATCGAGTGTCGGCGGAGGCGTGCAGCCCCTGCCGACCGCAGGTGTACTGGTGGATTGTACGACGCAGTCCGCATCAGCTGAGGCGCAGGCAACTGCCACCGTAGATGAGCAGAAAAAACGGAATCACAAATGCGCAACCAATAACGAGCAACCGACCTCAAGTGAGCGCAGCGCAGTGACATCAATCGAGCCAGAATCCCCAGCGCTTACTGCCCCTNACCGCCGGTGCCACCAGCATCCAACTCCGGGCTAGTAGCCCGATCGGCCGTCGCAGAATACCAGCGACGAGAACGCCCCTCGAGACATCAATTCTTCCTAGCTGTCAATATGCCGGAGTCCACGGAATCCACGGTGCAAGCCCGGCTTAACGCGGACCTGTCCTTGCTTCGAGGAGTCCCGGCTAGACTCTTCGTCCCTGGCGAGGAAACTCAGGCCCAAGTCATACGAGTGAAAGCCACTTTAAGACTGCGAGCCAAACGGGAGGGNGGGAGGGCGGCGACCCCGTCCATTGAAGATCGTTCTTGGGTCGGTGGAGGAAACCAGATCCAGCGCCTTCCGCGTGAAAGGGAAGCCCATTAGACTATTATGCGACCTCGACGCGGACGAACGACAGAAGCTGAAGCAAGCATTAGCCGAGCTCCACGAGCGTTGAGCCAATGATGAACAAGATCTCTTCATCCGGGATTTTCGGGTCCAGAGGAAGCACCCACATTTCCGATGGAGCTCCCTTGCAACACCGGGCTGAAAGTCCTCCTCAGTGTAAACCGGAGGGACGTGCGAACGCCTGCCATGGACAAGCGCAGACGAGCGTGCACTGTGTCTGCCAATGTACGCAGTGTCTTGAACAAACGAGACGAGTTGGAGGCGTTTGTTATGAAGCACTCCCGAAGCCCCAACCGAAACCTAGCTTACCCCTGACTTGCTTCACTCTGAGATTTCTCTCCCGGGATAGGCGTCACTTTGTTCGGATCGAGGAACACCGATGAAGGGTGGGGGCTTCATGTTGTTCATCCACGAAAGTGTGCGGGTTACCCACCTCCACAGTTGCTTGGATCCTGACGGTCAGGGAGAAGAGTTGTGTTGCAACGGTTACACGAGGATCGGAATCTGCTTTAGACCGTAAACGACAGCCCTGGAGGCCATCCTGGTCGATATGCACCGATGGGCTAGCGACGGTCACTGTCTGACTCTGGGTGATTTGTAGGTGCCTCTAATCGACTGGGATGAAAATCACTGCCTGCCGGGAGCGGACCGATTCCCCAAAGACCTCCTCGCAGTCGTGAATCAGTTGATCCTGCATCAGCACTCCCGCGAACCCACCAGGATCAACGATTTTGCTCAGTCAGTTCTTGATCTGGTGTTGTCCCCTCGAACACCGGACGTCAGCGCCATCGACCACCTCCCACCACTCGGTTCGAGCGACCACCTGCCCTCCTGGAGAAGACCTTGCCTAGTATACCTTCCGGGACGGCATTCTCGAATTGGTGACAGCCTTTGCTCCACCGAAACGCTTCCGGACACACGAGCTTCGTCAGATGCTTAAGCGTCGAAACAGGGTGTGGAACGTGTTCCGCGCTCATGGATCTAGCTATGACCAAAACAAGGCGCTGCGTAATGCTATTTCTGCAATGAAGCCCAGAAAACGGCGGGGGTNGTCCCCGGCATCTGAAGCGGCCCCTATACCGAAGCGTTTCAACGCATATCTCCGTCGCCGCGCGTGTGCAATGGCTGACATACCATCCTTGGAGATTAACAGTGCCCTGGCAGAGACAGATGTTGACAAGGCGGAAGCTTTTGCGCAACACCATGCGTCCGTCTGTGCGACTGATAGATCACCCGAATGTTGTGCTCTGCGCCTCTGCTGTCTTGGAAAGCCATCTCGGTAGACAAGGTGCATGATGCACTTTCGGCTTTGAAACCATACCAGTCACTGGGTCCTGGCGGACTGCATCCCATCGTGATGAAGGAGTTTGCGTCGGTCATTGCACTTACCTTGACCGTTTTGTTCAAAAAATCATTAGTCGAGGGGAGGTTGCCGGCCGAGTGGAAAGCCGCGATTGTACGCCCTCTCTTCAAGGGATTAGCCCGTGGGGACTCCGTCAACTACCGCTTGGTCAGTCTCACCTGTGTGACCGCCAAGGCAATGGAGCGTGTACTCGCCAAGTGACTACGAGTTCACCTGCTACCGAAGAATGCCCGGAGCAGCATGGGTTCCGTTCGCAGCGATCTTGCGTCCCAAATCTGCCACTTGCTCGGGAGCAATGGGATTTTGTCAAGGCCGCTGGCCATGAAACGGACATCATCTTTATTGACTTCAGCAAGGCATTCGACAAGGTGCTACACAGACGGTTGTTGGGGAAGCTGAGGGCTCACGGTGTTGCAGCCCCTCTACCACCGTGGATCGACGATTTGCCCGTCAGGTGGACGTTTACTGTTTGATTATCACAGACCGAGTCGCGTCATGATCCTGTCACCAGTGGAGTGCCACAGAGTTCTGTCCTAGGATTTGTACTGTTCCTTCTCTTCTTGAATGATCTGCTCTCCCAGTTAAACTTATCTTGCCTGCTCTAAGCGGATGATGTGAAGCTGTAGAGAGCCATGAGAATACCGGAGGACCACTATGCCCTCCAAGAAGATTTAGACAATTCACACCACTGAGCTGATGTCTGGGAACTTCCAGTGAAGTCGTCGAAATGCGCTCATATGCTCCTGGAACGGGAGACACCGGACATCTCTTGTCTGATGAACAACGTCCCAATGCATTTGACGGCCACCGAACGGGATTTGGGAGTCATCATCTCTTCATCCATGAAGACCCAGATGAACACCGTGCGAGCATGTTCTGCGGCAAGGAACATGCCAGGTGCCATCCGTCGGTCGTTTGACGGCCTGTCGTTCACGGCCTCCAAGAAGTTGTTCGCCTCCCATGCTCACCCACGAATTGAATACGGTGGACCCACTGTATACCCCTGCACGCTTTCTGAAATGGCCAACTTGGAACGGGTACAGCGCTACGCCATTCGCCTAGTCGCGGTACTTTGCGGGATCAGCTATTGAGGTCGGCTCCAGGCACTTAAACTCTAACCGGTTAGCTACGAGAGGCTCCGCTAGGATTCGATCTATCTGTGGAAGATTCAACGTGGCGATCTGCGACCGGAACTACGTGCTATGTTTCCACTGCGAGAATGCAACCGGATGCGCGGCCACAGGCTCATCCTCCGGAAGCTGCAGTCAACGGGGCTTCATTTGGTCTATCACCTTTCCTGGAGCGTGACTCCTCTCTGGAATTCACTCCCGTCAGAGATGGTCGTGGAGCAGAACGTAACGCGATTCAGACGCCGTCTCAACGAGCACTTGGTGAGACGGTGGCAGCTTGAAGACAACTGAGCGAGTTGCTATCGGTACCGACGGTGATGAGGCTCATACGGGGCGCGGCCCCTCTGCCTTATAAATATGAAGATGAACCATTGGGCATCGGCCTCAAACCCTCTATACGCCTGTTGCCCTGAAGTCTTGATCAAGACTTCAACCTCCCTTCGAATAGAGCTTATAATAGTATCGACAAACAACGCCTGCTTGAGGCTGCTGGAAGCTTGGAGTAGNGAGCGTGCGGTAAGGGGATGTTGAGGAAGGTTGGCCATTCTTCGAGGAGAAGCCAGCGCGACTCAGTGATGAGTTTGCACCTTCCAGAACTCTTATGAAGAAGGTAGGCCTGCCAGTTAGACGAGCCGGGTCACCAAGGCACAGGTAATCAAAAATCAAGTGTGAAGTCGCTTCAAAAGATAAAGAAACTATCGAAGTATACTGTAATACAAGGGGAAACAGTGAAAGAGCCAAAAGAGTTCAGGTGGTTCGCCGACCTCACTTCGAACGAAGGCTGACAAATAGAGTCAAGGTATCCCTAAAGGCATACTATAACTGTTTTCAGTCCAGTGCATCTACCAGAGTAGCGTTTGGATGCATCATTAACGCTCTGGGACAGCACGCCTGGAACAACGGCGAGAAAGCCGAGAAAATTTGTAGGTTTTACGAAAGGGTTCATGTGCCAGACTCCGAGAAACTGCCTGGAAGGATACCGATTAACTCAGTTCCATCTCCCTTGTATATTTACACATTGATCCCACTATCTGACCTTGTTCATCTTACTGCCTCATTCGTACCCTACTTGTTTTAAGCGCGACCTGACCGCTCACTTTGAATCGTTCGAGGGCGGAGTGACAGTGAGCGTGCTTATCTTATCCAGACTCATTTTCTCAAAATAATAATAATAATAATGTATATTTTACGAAGCCCGTGAAGCATGCACAAAGCATGACATTTGTTCAAAATAATCTTATGTACATGGAAACTGCGGGTATATAGAAAGTTCAATTAGAAGATATACACAATGGGGATGGTCGAGAAGCGGAACAAAAACGTAGTGCAAACGAAACATAAAGCAGACAAGGCCACGAACGTAGATGTGGAGGATTGCACTAAATAAGCATGTCAATGGAATTTGAAGAAAAAGCAAACCTTCAATGGAGAGGACTCGATGCGCGGCATTATTGGGACAAAATAAAGAGAGACGGTCAGTGAAACAAGCATATCACAAATACTACGAGGGGATATGCGTACAAACACGTATATGTACACCTAAATATAAATAAGGAAGATGCAACGCGAAACGATTAAATGTGAACGCAGATGAAATTAATAATAATAATAATAATAATAATGTATATTTCACGAAACCCGTGAAGCATGCAC